GGAAGGCAGATCCTTGACTGTCGCAGGAGAAAGAGATCAAAAATCAAAATCTAACATAAGAAACTATCAGTAGTCATTGAGTTAATCAGCTTTGGAAAGCATGGTTTCTTTTCCATTAACAAAGCCCTCAAAAAGCTGTTGCTGCATTTCTTTTTTGGTGACGCAAACTTTTTCCTCTGAACGAAGTTAAAAGGATCAATTTTTTCAGTGCTATTACAGTATCGGCACAAAACCCAAGCTGTACAGCAATTCCCTTCTCTTCCCCATGCCCCCACAAATGCATAAACGTCTGTCACAAAACACCTTAACTCCAAGTAGTCAGATCTTCCAGAGTGGGATCCAAAGACAGAAGGGGCTTGCTCATGTCAGGGATCAGAAGCTAAGTGAAAAGAACAGAATGGTCAGGACACAGAAGATGGACAAAAGAAAGCACGGAAGAAACTGAAGCCTCAAATTGCACACACAAGGAAAGAACTTCTTTGCTTTTCCATCTGCATCAGAGAAATGTGACGATCAACAATAGTGTGCAGAGCTTAAAGGAATCCCAATAGTCACTTGCATGATAAAACAACAAATAGAGTAAAGACTGTAACTTTTAATTGTATTGATGAAGACCGAGTATGGGGGGAAAACTGTAATTCAGAAGTTGGGTTCAATTCTGACTTCCATTACATCACTAAGACTCGAATAACAGGACAGAAGTTGATTTCGTGTGTCTGATGAGCCCACATTAAGATATAACAATAATCAGTAACTTAATACCAAAGTTCAAGACAAACACGAATGCTAAGCACTCACACAAGTCATCTAGTATTAGAGAGAATAAACTACTCTCCCTAGTAATTATTAGGGAAATATCCTTTATGTAGAAGTGACCCTCAAGAGGGCTTTGGTTAATAATAACTAAGACTCAAAATCCTGCAACCACTTCCTTATGCAGATGATTAACTTTTATGCATGCGGCCGGTCCCACTGAATTCAAAGTCTTGAATCATGTCTTAAAAGTTACTCTTGGGCAGATAGGAGTTCAACTTTGCCTCTGGAAGAGTTTTGCAATAGTTCTCTCTTTAGAGACCAATTTTGTAAAATGCAGAAAACTCTCAACTATCACTCACATTTGTGACAATGGAAACCATTCAGCACTCTGAACAACTGGACCACAGGGGAAGTGGAAGAAGAAATGCATTTATTTATCTTCATATGCAATCCAAATAGAGAAAGAGCAGCCCAATGAGAATTGAGATACTCTTTCTTCCCTGAATCTATCATGCTCAAAAAATCTCTGCATGAAAATTTCCAAAATACTGTATTACACTATATGCAAGATCTGATGGATAATTGTAAGCAGCATTACTGAATAATTTAGGTACAACATCATGTTGCATTTGGTCCTGAGAAGCATCCACATTTTATTTGTTTGTTTTTAAACCAACACCCTCCATTTTGACATCTTCCACACTGGCTTTCAACAGATTCATAGAAAACAGCGACTCACAGAAAAAAAAAAAAAAAAAAAAAGGATCCTTCCTCAATTTTTTGTGCTATGATTTTGAGTAAAAGGGTTACCACAGAAGGGAAGACCTCTGCTTCAATTGCAGCTGAAAAATACCTTTGCCATTTGACTTGCACTGAAGCCTGAAAGATCCGGTCAAAAGGCAGGAGTCATCTGCCGAAATACAGTTGTCTACATCCACGCTAGATGTTTGTATTGAATTGACAGAAACAGCACTTCTCAGATCTGATTCTGCTGACTGAATGTAGACTTCCACTTCAGGAAGAGATGAATTGCTGCCTAGAAATGTTCTGCTTCCTGACTAGAGAGGGAGTCCAGAGGGCTGCATTGCAACAGACAAATCTCACCTTCTCCATGCTGGTTATCACACTGAATGACCATATCTGGTTTCTCTGCTAAGACCCTATCAGCTTTGCTGGAGTTTCTGCCACTTAGACTGGTACAAGTAAACCAATGTAGCTACCCTAGGCTCCGTGCGGTCAATGGAAAGAAAGAGGCACTTAGGAAATCACCTTTTAATAAGGTGAAGCAGTGACGTGCTTTCAATTAGACAGATGGGTTCAGGCTCTCACTGCTGAGAAGGTGGGAGATGCTGAGTACTCTCATCCCTTTATCTCCTCTCCACACCAATGAGGCTTGAAACATATAGCATCGGACCCCATAATAAAAGGCAAGATTACAATATGGATTACAGAGACCTTCATAAAATACTTTGAGGGAGAGTAAAAACAAAACCACACCAGGGAAGTTTGAAAAATCTGTATCGTGGCCTACATAGTGTCTGTCCACCCACAGCTTTGCCAAGTGAGGATAAACAAGAGCTGAATGAAACTCCGCAAGTGCACACTTCAGTTGGCCAAATATCCAACAGAGTCTGGAGCAGCTAAGAATTTGTCTGCACTCTCTTAAGATCTAAAAGAGAAGTTCAGACCCTCAAAAGGGTCTGAGATTCATCTGCTAGCAACATATGCCCCCAGCTGACCAGGTGACACAGAGACCTAAGATGGCAGACCTGGATCCAGGCTCTCACGCACTTGCACTTCTGTCACCAAAAGAAGTCACCTCATTAGCCGAGGACAGCAGGGCTTCTGCATTCGACTTCTGCAGGAACACAGGATTTGGCAGCCTCCAGAAATCTGAGCTCTCTATTTTTCTTCCCTTCGTTTACTAATGCCCGTTTCCCCTTCCCCGCCTCCCTGCTCCCAATGCACACACGTTTTAATGCTAAAACCCAGGAGTTACATGGCTTTTCCATACTTCTGGGCAAATATTACACACTCTCCCTCCAAACTAGCAAGTATGCCTTCTCCACAGAGGTAATAAACCTGCCTGTAAGAGCACAGTGCTTCATAGGGAAATGCTTCAGATTAATCCTAAAAAATTACCTGCACATCTCACGCCTTAAGAAACCTTCACATCCACCATCTCACGCAAAAATACACTCCCTACAACATTGAGATACATTGCACTCTTAATGGTTTGTACAGTTACATAGTCACAGACAATGTAATTAACAAGCTACATTCCTTCCTGTAAAATAAGAGGGAGAAAACAGAATAAAAGTTCACAAAAATAAATTTGAACTCAGAAATAAAACTACATTTTTAATTTAATTTTGTCATTTACTGTGTCAAAGATGACACAAACCTGGATTACCTGAGTGCAAGCACAGGTTTGATTTACAAAATACCTTGTGTCCCCTTCTGAGGAAAATGATACCTTATTTGCTCTCTTAAATAGACATCAATGCTTTATTAAGTATTTTTTTTACTTTCCATTTCATTTGTTTCGTACACACTGAAATCAAGAAAAACCAATCCTGTTTTAAAGTTACATTTTGTTTTCTGTTTCTTGTTACATAACTAGAAGTGTGATAGGAAATACTATTGTGGAGTTAAAAAAAAAAAAAAGAAGCAACCAAGCACACATCACTGCATGACAATAATGTGTAAGGTGCTCCTACACCCACTACTGGCATACATTTAAATTAAAATTACGTGTAATCTATAGCCAACTTTCATGTCTATGCTGAATGCCCTTTCTGTGTTTAACCTCCTCCATTGCTGACAAAGAGGTAAGATTTTCCAGGTTAGTAACAGCAAAATTCCACATTGCAAAAACACTGAATGCTGTCATGCAAATAAAGTCATTCACAGGGTCTGAAAATGTCCCTCCCATGTCCAGCTTGGGTTTAGGCAGAGAAATTATAAGAAAATATGAACATGGATCTTATTTTCTTCTGGGAGAGCCAAGCAATTTAAAACCAACAACCACATAAACCCAAAACCAGTGCTCCTTGCTAATGAAACCAGAGGACCACACCAGCCACTGTGCTGGAGACATTTCCTTGCAAAAAGCAAAAACATCCATGGTGGTGAGTGAATTTCATGATCTGGGTGACTTGTGACATTATGATCCTTCACATCCTTTACAAAAAGGGCCACAGACTCCATGTTGGAGAACACACTCATTCCATCCTTCTCTGCTCTGTGTACACCTGCCCAGGCAAAAGCACCGCATTTCTGAATTCGAGCACGCACAGAGACATTTTCACAGCATCATCTGAACCCACCACACACCCACCATCTCCCAGCGTAGCCTCCAGAGCCATTCACAACAGCCTGAGACACTGCTCTGAATCCAACCGGTATTTTCCTCTCCTCTCTGCATTACAGCCACAAGCCCAGAGCCCTGTAGCTCAGCTTGGTTCATCTGGGCCCACTTAGTTAAAATAAACACAAAGCAAAGGAACCCCCTGGGCTGACTGAACAACAAGAAGAAATTCGGCTGCAGAACTCCCTCACACTTGTGTGCATAGCTGATTTTACACCACTCGGCTGCTACATTGATATTATCTTGTCAAGAAGTACAGAGCAGCTTTCACCACAAATACTTCGGGCTTGAAAATTACAGCAAAGCACCACGGCTGGGGAAAAACCAACTTTAGCTGGATGCACAGCGCGCTGCAAGTGCAGCAGTTGAAGCCTCAATGTGACGCAACCGAAATCGTACCAGGGACGGGGGCTTGCTGAAAGAAACTGGACCCACGCAAAACCGCAACGTATGTATTAGGTGCCTATAGCTCATTCGCTGCCCAAGCTAGGAGCGCCCTGCAAACAGAGATTTACACGAGCTACAAATCAATGAGGCAGCGTGGCTATGCCCATGCCAGTGACAAACTGCAGCGGGGAAGGGAGCCTGGACCGTTTGGCAGACCCGCCGCCCCCCTCAGCCACCCTCCCACACCTCTTCCCTCTCCCCTTCCCCTTGCTCCCCTGAGCCCTCCCCCTCTCAGAAGTTCAGTGTCGGTGCGCTGGGAACAGCCCTGCAGTTTCGAGCCCGGTGGTGGGATGAGCCTGGCCTAAACGCCAAAGTCACCCCGGTGTCTGTGGCGGGGGGCTGCGGGAGGCCAGCCAGGCTGACGCGCCCCTGCGGTGGGCTCCCGGCTGCCCACCGCCCGGCCACCTGCAGGCCTCCGCCGCCCTACCTTGCTCCTCGCCGGCCCCAAAGCGGGCTCTGGGGTCCTCGGGGGGGAGCCGAGCTCCGCCGCCCTCCAGGGCTTTGCGTTTCTTCGACATCTGGTCGGTGTTGGGGAGTTGAGTTTCTCCTCTCTCTCTCTCCGGGGAGATGAGTGTATGTGGAGAGAGAGGGAGAGTGTGAGGGAGAGAGACACAGGGAGGGAGAGAGAGAGATTGAAAGAAATCGCTGCCTAAAGAGAGGGGAAGAGACTTTGGAGTGGCTGGAGAGCAAGTAGGAGGCAGGGACTAAGTGGAGAAATCCTACAAATCACAATCCCATCAATTCAGCCCCACGTCTAAAGGGGCTGTTGAGGTCTCCCCCTTCCTTGCTCGTTCATCTGAGCGTGCAAGTGAAAATTAAAGACAGAGGCAGTAGTCCTCTCTCGTTTTTTCCAAATATTAGCGGGTGGTGTTTGGTTGGTTTTTGTTGTTTTTATTTTTTTTATTGGGGGG